AGTCATGATGGAAACGGGACGTGTACAAAGGAGGAAGAAGAGGGAAGATGCACCGAGGGGATTACACAAATCCCCAATGACGAAAACAACCCAACGGTACGATATGAAGGTGCAAGGCTAGAGCAACGATGAGATCTTGGACGGCATTTATGTTTCGGAGTCAATGAGGATGTCAAGGGCCCGGACGCGTGGTGGCCGAGGCTGAGGAGTAAATTGCGCTACGGCGTGTATACAGCGGGTTTCTGGACGGTCAGGCTTGGTATGATTCAATACATGGGTGAAGTCTGAGTTGGTCCGATCATTCAGGTGGGACGAGGTAGATATACTTAATGGTAGTTTACCTGATCCAGCCCGGCCCCACCCGTGCTTAAGCTCCAGTAGGAGTGCAACGGTAGTCATGTAACCTAGCACGTATACCGCTCGAGGTATACGACCAGCTCTAGCCAGACAGGCTTTACAAGGGGCAGCGTTTACAACCCTTTTCTACGGAGCCGAAACCTAGTTCTCAGCAAATACCTGCAAAGAAGATATTTCCCGTATTCAACGCAGGATAAACGATGCAGCCCGTGCAGCACTGCCAGTATACAAAACCACTCCAGTGGCCGCCCTTCTGCGGGAAACTGGATGGTCATCAGCTCAGGGGTGGCTCGAACGTATCCACAACCGGCTTGCAGTGCGAGTTGCCTCGTCAGATCCCCAACATCCCTTGCGACTGCGCTGGAAATCTCCGAGAATGGCTTGGATTTGGCGCAGAATTTCCCCAGAACTATCATTGAACACGACTTCACCTCCCTGGACACCAAAAAGAGACGAAATACTCGCAGCAATTGGAGCAGTTGGTCGTGAAGCAGGGCTCCAAGTCTTCACCCAATGGCATTCCTCAGCACCGCCCCTGGACCACTTCGTTTTCTCAGACGGAGCTCTGATGGAAGGCTCAGCAGGGGCAGGGTACTGCATTTATCGCGGCGCAAAACATGTGATTGATCAAGGCTCTGTTCCTCTGGGTCAATCAGCAGAAGTATATGATGCAGAAGTCGTCGGGGCCATGGAAGGCCTCGCAGCTGCAATTAGAAACCCAATGGCATACTACGCCACCAATATCACTGTCTGTCTCGACAACCAAGAGGCAGCGTCTCGCTTACTCCTTGGACCGCCGACCCCATCCAGCTCGACTCGGATCGCAAAATTTCGGGATCTCGCAAGATCCTGGCCTTCAAGGAACCGTGCCAGATACACTGAGCCAGGAAGGGTCTCTGTACGCTGGTGCCCAGCGCATTCAGGAATCCCTGGAAATGAAAAGGCAGATGCTCTCGCCAAAGCGGCCTGTACTATAACCGCCCCCAACCTGGCCTCTTCCATTCCCAGAGCAAGGAGAATTGTCATTCTTCGCTACGAGGCCTCTGCGTCGGAATACTGGTCGCGAAATTCCTCTGACCGGTATAGAGCACTCAGAATCGGGCCAAGCTCCCGCATCACCCCAGAGCTCGCTAGTATGGATCGTCGGTCCCTCGGCCTTCTTCTCGCTGCGCGGTCGGGCCATGGTGATTTTGCAGCATACCACCGTCGTTTCGCACACAACAGCGCACCTTTAACATGCTCCTGTGGACATGATAAATCGCCGGAGCATTTCATGACCTGTCAACATGGCCTACTACAGGCGCGGCTTCGTGGAGCCAATCGCCCCCGTCCCCCAGACGCTCGCTGGATTTTAAGCTCACCAGAAGGAGCTATCTTGTTCCGAGACTAGCTTAAGTCCACTCTATTTTTTCGAAGAGTTTCAAAGGTACCATTAATGGGGGAAGCTCTGTTTGCACCTACATTTGTAGGACAGCCCTGATTACTTAGACATCAACGCTATCTAAATACGAATATCCACATGTAGTTTAAATTCCGCTTATAATTGTATAATTTATATCAATTTAAGAAGAGTCTCACTGATCTGGCGACTATGCGGACCGGGAGCAGTGGGGTCTTTATCGGGTTTTTGTTATGGGAATGCCGGTGCGTCGGGTAGCCCTTTATAGGCTGTGCCAACCGGCATGGGGCTTTAAAGCACTGTGTTGTGCGCAGGCACGACGTTAATATAAATAAATAAATAAATAACCTAGCACGTTAATGAACAAGACAAAACAAAGAAAAAAGCTCATAGATCTTTAAAAATAAATTTCTTTTACGTTGTCGTGCATTAGCCGTGAATCGAACACGGGGCCCATCGAGTCTCTTATGGCAACAATGGATTTTACCACTAAACCACTAATGCCTTGACCGTAAAACGAAGCTACAACTTATATAATCCTCGACCTGCACGGCACATAAACTCACTATGTACGGGTTTTTTTGCATTAGATTTTTTAGTATGCAGCTGGCTAGCTAGCTATGACACAATATCAAAGAAAAGTACAGAAAGGATGACTCAATTTAAAATAGGAGCACTCATGCCTCGGATTTCATTTGCAAGTACCACTGCGAAGCTATGCCGGCTTGTTCTCCACCCCAAGTCAACCCTCATTTGTGAATGCCCACTTAGGGGAACGTCTCAAAAACTCTGAGTTATCCAGACATGCCTCCATCATCTTTCAACTTTTCTCCGCGCGAAATATGGTCTTAGGCGTCTCCTTCCCAAGTGGAGTAGGTGCCCAGGCTACTCAGACTATACCGGAGAACATCTTCCATCGTCGGCTTGTTTTTATAGTGTCAGCTGCACTCTCGCAAGCGAAGCCTTGGCGCGCACAAAGCTCAATTCGTAAAACTCCTTGCCAAAATTCGAGATTTAACCCCCGTCGAGATTGTATCCTCCCTCTGCATCATCTCGTGAACCTGTTCTTATCCCTCTCACGCCCATCCCAAAGAACTGTCTCCCAGATTTGTACGCCACGTTTTGCTTCCTCCGTCGGGTATAAATATTGGCGTGGGGGTGTATTTGGTAGTCAACTAGAGCCAGAGAAGGTCGAAGAGTGGTCTGGTCATTGGGATGAAGATGTACTTGGTCGTACTTGAAGAATTGATGAGGCTTAAGTAGGTATTGATTTCGTTGGGAGTGAAAGATTAACGTGGTGGAGTATTTTGAATCAATGGCTCGTGGGTCAAATTCTTTAGTATTGTGAAATTAGACTGAACTTGGCTCTGGGAGAATATTTCGCACCCCGGATCTCCAACATGTCTGTTGTGATGTGATTATTGCATTTACTCTAAATTTATCTCTGCCAAGTGCTAGGGATACAACACATCTATGCGAGTACTGCACAGCCCTACATGGCTATCATTCGATCGAATATTGAGGCGCAGCTCTTTACAACGGCATAGAGTAATGTGGGATAGTATGGCATGGAATTAATATTGTAGCAGTTCCTGCATAGACGGTGATGTATTGTATAGCGGCTACCAAATATGTGCATATAAGTCTTATCTACTACTGTGATGTGTAGATGAATATAACTAAGCTATTCATCATATCGTCAAGCTCTGATAATCGTTATCCACCCTCTGCACTATCCCTAGAATATTCAACATCTCATACCTACATATACCTTAATCACAACACCGCATACAGGTGTTCAGTCTTGCCCTCCGCTGAAGTACACTGTTGATGACTTAGACGGGTTTGTAAACTTCGCATTCCCCACGGTTCTGATGAAGGAATATTGAAGCAAGAGAATGAACAACATTTCTTTTACTTTGGAGCCTTATATTTAGAATTATGTTAATCCTACGTGTTTTTGCGTTAAGGCCAGTCTACAGATGCTTTATCAAGATTTTTGCCTGTAGCTCAAGTCTTAATGAAATTATTACCTGGGTCAAGAAAACCAACATGTGATAAGAGCTATAATTCAGAATAGTTGGTCGGCTCTGATGCCAATTGCACAGAACCTTAGGTCTTCTCCTTTGTCCTGGTCTATAAAATTTAAAGAATTGAAAATGTACCTTGTATTTGAGAGAAAATAAACAAGTGGTATTGGATCGAGCAAGGTCATCACGAGGGTTGCCATATCATTCTAGAAAATAATAAATAACGTTTCTGTCGCTATCCACCATATCTAACTATCGGAGGAAAACTGGAGAATAGTTGATCCGTTGGCTCACGTTAGCTGGACGCGCGCGCGTTCTATTAGTTAAATGTTGGCTTAGCCAACCAGAATAGAATAACAACGAACCTATATACTTCCAGTTGTCTATGCACCAACTTGTCACGTACGTGATACGTAACCCATCTTACAAATTCTCATATTAAAAATATAATGTCAGCTTCGTTGCCGGAAACAAAAGCCTTGTAGCTTTCGTTCTTGAGGTGATAACTGTGAAACCCTTACTCAGGTATTGCGACACCAAGGACACTATTCAAGCTCTAGAAACCCCGTTTATATCATTATCTCACTATAATAAGATATCACAAATTGAGATATAACCCTCTAGATCATTTTAGATATTCTTGTAATACCTTGCCAAGTTACGTGTTGTATAACCTAAGCTGATTTACCGACTTGATTAACAGTTGCATATCAGCTACTCCGTTCAGCCGTGATGAATTGTAGAGTAACGGCCTATTGATGTTATTTTTACTGGCCCTCCTTTTATTTGGGTCAAATGATATTACATCAGCCATCAGTTATTCTATTAGTTTCCAAACATGAGAATATTTAGCCTCAGACGCAACAAGTATTTTAAAAATTATCTTAATTCTCATAAATGAAGATATCAGGGCTGGACTTGTGTTTTTGAGATATGCTGTCTTTTTTATTGGAGATTCTCCCCTCCAAATTGTGCTTTTTGTAATTCGAAGCTTCAATCAAAAATGGTGTTGACTCCGTCAGCTATTCGGCCATTTGCATTTTGGACGTCAGTATGATTCCGCTTATACTTTTAAAGAATGAAGATAAGGGGTGTGTGATGGCTCGCTTCTGACCGAGGCGTGTCTGGTAGAATAGCTGTTCGGAGTTTTGATAATATTTTTTTCAGAAATCTTTGTAAATTTCAATTGAGCTGTAGAGGCAATGATTAGCGGTTCAGCGAATTGTTTTCTTTTCGATGTTCTTTCGTATCAAATTCCAGACCTCGCCATTTAAAAAGCCACTATCCCTGCCATGAACACCGAACTGATCAACAGCTTTAACCTTCCACCAAGCTTTGGACTTCTTAAGTAGACTCGTATCCCTGACAAAGTTTACCATTCCGAATCTTCTTTGAATTGCATAAATGTCCTTCACCTTGGCTCTAGAAACCCTAGGCTTTCCAAAGATGTTCATCGTGGTGAAGTCAAGCTCGGTTTCGGGAGGGATGGATTTTGCGAAGCGCACTATCATTTGCTTTGAGTTGCGCGCAAAGGAAGGAATTCGAACATGAACATATGTTACAAATGGACCGGTTATATATGCAACAAATACCATTGGCACGAGGCCCGAGATAGCAACTATAGACACGCTTATTAGAAAATTTTGAAAGTACTATAATTTCCGCTGAAAAGATTCTTTTGCATTGGAGGAATGACAAAGGGATCATACTTGTACCAGTGACCCAGGGAACTTTCTTGTCTGCTAGAACATGCTTTGGAATTACGACTAGACTAAAAAAACCGAATATAAATATAGTTGTAATTTTTAGGCAGCCAAGAAAGACGGTGCGCCCAGTGCCAGCATGATAGACTAGAAGGCGGTCAGGAAAGACTATCTTAACTTTAGTAATTGTAATAAAATCTGCTCTGCTGTGCAAAATACCTACCAAATCTTTTAGTATTGGACGTAGTAGATGTCGATTTTGCCAATATGCTTCGTTTTGAACACGTTAAACTGGACTTGATGATATTCGTCTGCTGTACGCGCCAGAGATGCTGGGAGATTCTAAGTGTTGTGACAGTAAAGTTTCGTAAATTCATTTTTGGACTTGTACATTATTCATAATCGAATGATTGGTAGGTATGTTGTAGTTGTAGAAGTTTATATCAGACGAGATCACTGTTGATACGGTTGACCAACTATCCGTTGAACATGGAGCTGGATCTGACAATCAGCCCCTCTTTAGGCATTTTACCTAGCTACCCTGCAATTACTAAATGGCGGCCCATATGACTTCGATTTCATTTTACTGATTTGGCACCCTATGGACCCATGCAGGTGGAGGGCAAGACTGAACACCTTTACGCGGTGCCTACTACGAGCCTGAGTGTAAACTACTCTTCCCAAGCTACGTTCAGTCTAATTTCGCAATACTAAAGAAATTGGCCCACGAGCCATTGATCCAAAATACTCCACTACGTCAATTTTTCACCGCCAACGAGTTTGACTCCTACCTAAGTCTCATCAAGTTAACAAGTACGACCAAGTACATCCTCATTCCAATGACCACACCTCTCTCCGACCTTCTCTGGCCTCAGATGCTCACCAAATACATGCCCACGCCAATATTAACACTCGGCGGAAGAAGCAAAGCATGGCACACAAATCTGGGAGACAGTTCTTTGTTATGGGCGTGATAGGGATAAGAATAGGTTCACGAGATGATGCAGAGGGAGGATACAATCTCGACGGGGGTTAAATCTCGAATTTTGGCAAGGAGTTTTACGAATTGAGCTTTGTGCGCGCCAAGATTTGGCTTACGAGAGTGCAGCTGACGCAATAAAAACAAGCCGAAGACGGAAAGTGCCGTGGTCCGCCTCCTGGTGGTGTCCTCTGGTATAGTCTGAGAAGCCTGAGCACCTACTCCACTTGAGAAGGAGACGCCTCAGACCACATTTCGCGCGGAGAAAAGTAAATGGATGATAGAGGCACGTGTGGATAACTCAGGGTTTTTGAGACGCTCTCCTCGGTGGGTATTCACGGATGAGGGTTGACTTGGGGTGAAGAAAAAGCCGGCATAACTTCGCACTGGTACTTGCTAATGAAATTTCAGGCATGAGTGCTCTTCCTTTACATTGAGTCATCTATTATGTGCTTTTCTTTGATATTATATTATAGCTAGATAGCTTCACGCGCAATTAAGATATGATTAAAAAAATATAATTTTTAGATTGTGTCAAGGGGTAGTATTTAACCTACTCATGTAAATTAATCCAGTAAGGTCACATGTCATTCCTATCAATACATAGATTTTATCCGTTGCAGTAGGGTCTCTAGTCAAAATTTATAACGTAATACCGTTTCCTATGCATCTATCTTCAGAGAATGTGGCAGATGAATTTTCCAACCCAAAACCACACCGTCCAATACTTTCAAGTTTAGAACACATCAACATCAGCTTTCAGCGGCTGATTTCCAAAGTTATTCACATCTATCTTGTAAATCTCAGCCCTGAGTAACAGTAGAGATTTATGACCGGTGCTTGATCTTTATAATTTATTAGGGCTTGACCCTCAGGATCAAATAGCATATTATTGTGATATTCATATTCATTTCTCTAGTTTAACGTCCTATGCGGTATCTATATACAGATCCATGAAGACGGTAAGCCGCTTTGGTAAGGGAAAAAGCTTTCATCAAACAAAACCCGATGTCCTGCCCCTCTGAACCGAGCCGGCTTAATGCTGAGGACGTTCCTTTCAACCACAAATTTATAGACTTTCCTCGAAATTCATTAACTCCCCCTTCGATTAGACTAACGTTATGAAAAATAAAATGAAGGAGGCACCTCCTCGCTCGGCGTCGGTCTTCGAAGTGTTCGAAGAGTTGGCGCCGATGGTGGTGCTGTTGTGGCTGGTATGGTTTGTGACACTGGGGCTTCGACTACCTTCCGTGGTCGTCTCGGCCTTCTTTTGAATCTATCAGCCTTCTTACTGGTGACCAAAGTAAATCCCTGATCATCAGTTGGTCCGACTGTTATTTTTTTTGAATCATATTGTATTCAGCTATCTAGTTATGACAATTTAATATCCATTTATTTTTTACATTGAAGTATCACACCAGTGAACGCCCTAGATCACTTCTCCATACATCTTTATGTCCATTATTTATGTGCCTATATCATCTCCTTTGTATGCTGACATACACTTGGACGTTTTCAAAAATTCTAGGTCTCCCTTCCTCCTTTTTGTTTTTAATAAAACTTGTAATGAGAGAGGCTTTATGTCACAAATGCCAATTCCCTTTACTTGCAATATCTGGTACAGTGAAGAATTAAATTTTTTGTGATCTGCTTTTTAGCCTTGCAAAAATTGCAGCTTTGATCTTTAACTTTTCCAATTATATTTAGGTAAGCTCTAGTATTTCCAATCCCAGTTCTTGCCTGGAAAAATGCTGATTCAACAATCCTACTATGGTTTTGAAAGTTAAATGGTTGTAAAAAAAAGGTGGGTATATGCATCTGGGCTTGGATTCTGTAGAATTTGCCAAGTCTCCTACACCTTCTACCCTCCTCTTCTAGGAGAACTTCTGTTTGCTAGTCATTATGCCAAGAATTTAAAATAAATTCAGTTGCTTTCTACTTCAGAAAAGAATAGGATGTGGATTTGTCACTTCTTGAAGCTGTCATTTCTACTGCTCCTTTTACAAGTGAGTCAGCAAGTTCATTACCCTCAATTCCCACATGTGCTGGACACCAAGAAATGCCTAGACTACAATCTTTGGCTAGGTTTCAAATTTGGTGTGAGAGGTGGTTTGTCTTCCCGTGAATTCTCTGAAGGCTTACTTGGCTGTCACTGAAAATTTGTTATCTTGCATTTAGCAGCTTTTTCCTTAGGTACTGAGCAGCTTTGTAAATGCAGTAGGTTTCAGTGTCAGTTATTCCAATGAAGTTTCCAAGATTGAAGGAGAAGCTTTTCAACTCTCGTGTAAAAGGCATGTAGATAACGAAGCCAATGCTGCTCACATTACTCTTAGGAAGAGATCCGTATGTGTAAGCAATGGCTATATCTGGATCTATTGTCTGCATTAATTTTAAATGTTGCTCATGGGCTAAAGTCTTGGTCAGGGATGAAATTTTTATGACTAGAGGTGGTGAGTCCCATGGTGCCATCCATGCTGAACTTATCCCCTCCAGCTTCTGAAACTTAGCAATTAATTTGAGGAAATTCCCATTTCTTATAAGCTGATTTTTTGCCTTATCCAACTGGCCAAATATTTCAAGGTCAAGTTCTAGAAGTGTATTCGACTCATCCTTCAATGGCTCAAACAGCAGTTGCTGTACAGGGTGTGTATTCTGAATTCGTAATGGTCGGAGGGCATAGTTGAGTGTATGCTTCATCAGTCTGACTTTTGTTCACAGGATGGCTGCTTCAACTTCTAGAGCCTTGATTGGACTGTTCTGATAGGCACCTGTGATTATTATGATTGCTTGGTTCTGAAGCCTCTGAAACTTATTAGTTAATGTTTCTGAACCTCTTCTTCCCTGCCAGAGCACAGAGCCATTGTCTAGCACTGATGTGACACAAGCTATCTATAAGTGGCGTAGGGCTTGAAGTCGAAGCCCTTTTGTTGATGAGGCAAGTTGTTTCACTCTACTGAGGGCTCCATTGGCTAGCTGAAGTCTATTGACCACATGTGATTTGAAGGATAGCTTCCGGTCAAACTAGAAACCCAACCATCTCACTTGGCTGTAAAGATACACCATTCTGAAGTAAAAATGTTGATGTGAGTGGCTTTCTATGCTGGGAAAAGTGGATGAGCTCAGTCTTATCCATCTCAAATGTGACTGATGGCTTGTTTGCTTTTTCAATTAAATTATCTGTTGCTGCTTTTAATAGTCGAATATTTTTATCCACTGATGTTGATGCCACTGAAATTGAAAGGTCGTTATTGTAGGACAGGTGGAGATAGTTGGGTAGTGTTTCAAATGGGTATAAATATCTAACAGAGAGCAAGAAGAGCAAGGAGGAGATAGGGCTGCTCTGTGGTGTGCCAGTGACTTGAAATACACTGCTCATCTGTCCATTGAAGCATAGCTTCATTGTTGGTCCGACTGTTCATGTTGGCGCTACCGTAGGTTTTTCATTCCATATTTCCGCCGTTCTCGAAAGCAGCTCCATCCGAGCCATCTCCACACTTCCCTTGCAGACTTGGTAGGTCTGACACGCTGCTTTTTGCCATGAACGGTATTCCTTGCCGCAGTTTGCACAAGAAACCCTTTTCTTCGGACAGTCCCGAGGTTGGTGAACGCCTGCGCACTCACCGCACCTAGCTGCTTTTCCACACGACGCCTGCGGGTGTCCCCACTGGCTACAGTTGTAACACTGCTTTGGCTGGGCCCGTGGTGACCATACCTGCGCGGTGAAGAGCATAGCGTTAATTACAAGGCACTGTCGAACTAACTCCATTTGAATTGTCTCCGACGGGAGGCTAACTACAATTGAACCGCGATTGCGGCCATCTTTCTTCGACCGCTGATGTTCCTTTCCGTCATGGAGCCATCGTATTCTACTTATTACTAGGCCTGGAATTCGTACCTTCATCGCCGTCTCAATCTCCCTGATGATGGCGTAGTTGTTGGCATCTCTGCCACCTTCAATTCTTGTCCGTAGTGGGACTCCGGAAACTTCGACTGAAAATATTGCCGCAAGATTTTAAATTTCGCTGGTTGACGCATGTTAAGCACCGTGTCTCTCCGGGAAGCCGACTGTATAAACACCTCGATGTCGTTGCTTCGCATCTGCCGAATTTAAAATGCGCCTTGGATGTGTTGTTGTGCCTTGGATAGCAGCTCTTGTGGCTGCAAGTTTTGACCGCCGTCAATTCTTATTCGTACCGCTGTTTTCTTCATTTACGGAGCCACAACCGATGCGTAACTCCTTGGTGGCGCCGCGCCCGAAACCACTGCTGGTGCATCTTTCCGAGCGGGATCCGCGAGGCTTTTCTCTACGACTTCCTCTAAAGCCATCATCCTCTCCTCGGTAGGAGACTTCTTCTGGGAAATTTCCGTCCAGGCCCTTTTGTGCGCGTTGAAGGCCTT